GTTCGTGTGATCATCAAACAAACCTTCTATGCGGTACACTTCATACCCGTCTACACAACGATGCGTTCGTTCACGGTGTTGAAGGACGTCCTACCAACCCATCATTTAAGTCATGTAATCTACAACTTTGAATGTCGGAATTGTGCTAGCCGGTATGTTGGTAGGACTGTTCAGCACCTGAGCGAACGCATCAAGTAACACACTCCTTTACACATTATCCCACGTAGCGCACAACTGGAGCGTCCCACGCGGGGAAGACCCCGTAAACAACCACTACCTCCGCCAACACAGGACCTAGCATCCCACTCGGCAAGTCCACCATTGGCTCCCGTGGCCATGACCAAGTCACTCCCTCCACCAGCGGAGGTGGATGTGGCTTTGGCGACGCCACGTGTGTTGCATGCAGACACGTTTGCGTCATCATTACTTCCTGCATCACCGGCAGAGACGACAACAATACCTACCTCAATATCAACGAGACCCAGAAGAACAACTGCTAATTACACCTTGACCTATTTCAGTACGGAAGTACCGAGCCAACGGAACACACAACAGGAACGTGAGACGAGGGATGGGAGGACACGGGACCTGATTGCTCCAAGGCAGGACGTCGTTGAGGAGGATTCGGCCAGTGAGTCCAGTGAGTCCGGTGAGTGTGAGAGCGAGAATGATTGTGTGAGTAAGAGTGGGTGCGAGCGTGTGTTTTATAGTAGGAAGTCATCAGTGTATAAGCATCTTGTATCTCGTCCTGATTGCTGCAAGGTTTATTCTGATTATTCTTTTTCTGTTTTGTGCCGTGCTCGTCATGGTTATAGGTTGCAGTTGAGTGTGTTAGAGGCTGTTTGTTAACGTATTCATAAGCCTAATCTGTGTGTCCAGAAGGACAGCATTATTCGTTTGAAATTGTTTTAGTAGCAGCTTGTTCTGTCTGTTTGGCCCTGGTTGGCCATGGTGTCATATCTTGTGTCACAGTATACTAGTAGTCCTTACAAGTTCGTTAAGTGCTTTCGCAGTTTTTCCTGTTATTACCTTAGTGCTAGGATTATCATTTTCATAGGTGTTGTTTCTTCTCACTCCATTTCTCTTTATTAGTATCTTTCTGGATTGTTTTTCATTAGTACAACGTAGCTTCCTGAGGAGTGTTGTGCGAAAACTAGTTCGAAGTACGATTTTTTGTTCATCATTATCACAATTTTTCTTTCTTCCATGTTCTTCACTGCCTTCGTATCCACTCGTTTTTTGAATACAATAAAAGCCTTTGTGAAATGTCGGTTCAGCTCGTTCTGTTGATCGCAATTCTAAAACTATTGTCGCCTCGACGCCTATTTAAATTAATAAATAAAACAAATAAAATTTAACTTCATAACTTGTTTCCATGTGATTTCTTCTATTTTAAAACAAATAAAATAAAAGAGGAGCGTTACTTACGAAGAGCCTATGAATATTTTCAAAATGAAATTCTCCTTCACCCACCCACCCGTTTCATGTAAAAGATCGATGATTACGGTATGGATGGCCCCTAAATCTGTGATGACTTTGTGTATAAATTTCCGAAACTGGGCGTTTGTTGTTCAACCCCTTAGGGGTCAATAATTATGACAAAATAGGGGAACCGCTGAACAATATCCCGAAGAAATTTTCAATAGGCTCAAACCAAATTCGAACTACAGTCCAAGGCATAGCTTATTAAGGATTTCATTTAGCTCGGACAAATGTACTTCCGTTTTGAAATCTGTCCGGACATGCCCGGACATTTTCCACAACACATTTTCAGGGTGTTTCTTCTTTTTTTTAGTAGTAGTACTGAAGTATATTCACAATGACTCATTATGTGGACGAATCTGAATTGACTCTAGCAACAACGCGTTGCTACAGGCGGATCAAGTAAAAAATATAGTGAAGTCTACGCCTGAGACGACGGTATACGTGTTAGTTGTACGATATGCAAGTAGCATTTGGCACGAAGCTCCGAAGAAAGCCCAACTCTGCATAAAAGGTCGAAAGGTCGCTGCTCTTTTTTTTTAATTTTTTGACCGGACACTATGTTCGGTGAAATTGAAAACGTCCAGTCAGTGGCTGAAAATGGCCGGAAAATGTCCAATGTCCGGCCGTTAATCTATGCCCTGCAGTCAACTTTGCGAACAACGACACTCGGCGGGGCATCAGAAAAGTGTCCTTACTTGCGAAGTGTCCTTATACCCCAAGTCCCATATGAATGTATGCGAACCCGTATTTTTATAGTATGACATGCATATCAAAATGAAGCTCTTTTCATGCTCTATGTCAATGTGTACTTTATTTTCATATTACAATTGAAAGGAACTATAGTCAATGTGCAAGGGAAATAGATTGAAAAATTAGCCTTTTGGAGCCACCTACCGGGACATGTACATGTACATGTATGATGATTACTGTATGATCATGTACAACTACATGACTCTCGTTGTGCTGATCACTCCACCTATTGTGAAGCAAAATAAAAATAAAATACCCCCCCCCCCTTGGCTGCATCTTCTTGCATGTGTGCCTTTATCCATTTCCATGGGTTCTGGTACTTCTGCATGACAGGTACTTGAAATACCGTAGAATCCCGCGGATAAGCCCACCCGCGTATAAGCCCGTGCTCGCGCATAAGTCCAGGCCAAGTTCGAACATCATGAAGCTTCGTCGTACAAGCCCATAGGCCTAGGTCGTACCAAGAGTCCATAAATTATTTATGTATGTATTTTTTGTACATTTCAACACAATCATCGGTTGTTTTTGTTTGCACAGTGGCTCTCAGCAATGTACTACTCACTTCCTTGGTACTTTTCAATAGCACAATTTTGGTGTCAGCGTATAAGCCCATGCCCGCGTATAAGGCCATATCCTTGTACAAGCCCACCGAATTGTCCTTGTGAAACAGATACGCCCATGAACTTATCCGCGGGATTCTACGGTAGCTGTCAAAAGCCCAGAAAGTCGTTATTCAAGCATTGAATATGACCTCGGGGCACTAAAAGCATGTCCATGTCTCGTTATTAGCGAAGTTGACTGTACTTTTAAAAGTCTGGACTTTTGAAACACACTGTAAGAACATCTCTCGCTGCATACAAGGAACAACAGCAAGGGCTACATTTTATCGAACACTTGCATATGAATACATCTAGATTAAAAGTAGTTTGCTTCTATGTTCCATCCTCTGCATTGAGTCAACCAAGTGTCTGTGATACTTGCTTTCATTTGATCAGGCCCTCGATCATACCAATAATGGACATTACAGAATTGGAACTCAACTCGTTGGTGAGTAGCAGTGCAGTTAACTGTTATCGATGTACATGTACTTTCCTCTGTTATGAACAAGTTCAATTATTGATGTACCGTATATGGTGAAAGCCATTATTCTAACGAGGCGCATATTTTTAAATAAACGATTTCCCAAAATTGACTAGTTTACGTGTACCAAATTCAAAGGTAACGATTCTCACTCATTCTCAACGCTCAATAGGACAGTATATGTATCGATTTCTGGATAACGATTTCTATTTTAACGACAGATTTCTCCTCGATAACTCGTTAGAGTTAGCACTTCGTTATACATATGGCTATTACAGTATGTACTTTCCTTCGCAGCGAGGTACTACAAGCTATTACTGAGCACTATGGTTGCACATTATACTATAGTCCATTTTGAAAACATAGATGTGTGACTCTGCACAAGTTATGTTGTTGTTGAGACTCTGGACTGTCTGTGCCGCCATAGCTGGATCTAAAGATATATAATGCCCGTGTGCAGGGTAGCAACGTATGAACAATTGTGCCACATAGTTTCTTTGTTGTGGGCCTCTTTTTTGCCTTCACCGAACGTGTGCTTTCTTGCTAAGGATCATGGAAGGTGCAGCCCCGACTCTTGAGCCACGATGAAATCTTATTTAATGAATATGGTATAAAGTCTCACGTCCGAACTCTGAACCAGGATTTCACTCTACAAACTCTCCAAGATGTCAAAAGAATATCCCCTGGGTGGCATACGCACACACTTTGAGTAACGCAGGCATCTATTTAAACACATGCAAAAAGACATGGTTTATCAGCTCGAACCTGCACAAATGCAGCATCTGGCTGAAATCAACACTTTGTTTCTGAAGAACAAATCTGAATCTGCCACGTATGTGCATGTAAGTTTCACTTCTTTGATTCCCACCGCTTGTTAGGAGCTGCATCTGTGCCTTGATCCTTGACGGGTGGTGGCGTTCCTACGGATGCGGAAAACTCGGCTTCTAGCCTACAATTGTAGTCTTATGCAAACCGTGATTTTTCTTTGACTCCAAACTCGCCCTGGGGTACCACACATGTTGCAGCTAGACAGTACAGAGGTTCCGCACTACGTAAAGTTGAGCACCTTTATGTTTAATAGGGCGGGAAAAACCCATGAATTCGCGAGTTTGCACTCCACTTACGGAAAGTTATCTACGTAGAATACGTAGATAGGGCTCTGACAACGTAGGTGCTCCATAAGCGGATTGGAGTACAAATTTATGACTCTCCCCAGGTCGATCCGGTCGTACACTGCCGCGTTCGGAGTTGGCAAGGGCAGCTACGTGATTTGAAAACTCCGTATGGCGGAACACAGATCCGCATGCAGTTTACGCAAGACTTTCCGTAGATCGACTACGTTTTTTTACTAATGTAATTATGTTATGCGGAACCTCTCTAGTGCCTCACTCATATCATACACAGAATGCTTCTATGTAAGAGTTGCTCTAACAAGAACACAGGTCATTGCAAAGCACAGTTCCATAAAACCATAACAGTAGGTCAAAGCACATTAAAACGTACTCACGATCAAGTCAGAATGAATAATAAGAAGTAAAGAGGAAAAAAACTAGTCGCACCTCAGAACTAAGACAAAATGTACACCATGATCTGTGTGATTTGAATGCGCTCATGACAGGGTGTTGTCTACAAGCAACCCAGCTTGCGCAAGCTCTATCAGCTCACGCCCAAGTGACAAGCCAAACTCTGATGGAGGGAATCGTCCAGATATGCTCGCTTGAGTTTCCAAATTTTATGAACAATCAAACAGTTTTCATGTACCATGAATAATGGAATATTTGTGGGCACATGCATCAGTGTATGTGTGTGTGTGCTCATAATTACGAGCGTATGTGTTGATATGACAGCATATTGCTGGTAATTCAGGTAAGTTCGGTGACGCTGGGTTGGCTTTCTGAATGCCATGCCTATATTTACATGATGAAAAACATATGAAAGGTTAAATATTGTAGGTAGACAGTGGCAGCTATGCTTGGCTACATGCCACATTGATCGTTCTACGTATTTCCTCACCATGTGCTAATGCCTGCTCATAGCACTGACGCAAGATTGACTGGCTGATTGACTTTCCACCTTGCTTTGTGATAGCACAGAGTCTCTCTTGATCTATTGCAACCATATTGACGAGTGCTGAGGCTATTCTCTCCTCTTCACCACATGGTGAGCACACCAGCTTATCACTCGCCACAGCAAAGGATACAGACGTTGGTATACACTTCAAGCTGACAGGCTGGGATGAATCTGACGAGCGGACGACACGCTGCGTTTCCTCTGATATCTCAACGCTTGGCAAGCGTAAATTTCTTAACGCTGCTACCAAAGCAGCTAAACATGCCTGCTGAAGACTGCCATCGTAATTCAAACATGTTATGTCCGCATACAATACCCAACATAGCTTGCCAGGTGAGATGCACAACTGTTTCACGTCCAGCAATTCGCATTCAGTCCAGACATCATGTAACCACTGACTCAGGGATTGTGCCTCTTCATTAGGGGGTCCAGTACGGAACGATGATGAACACATTGCTGATAAATTCACATTCGCCACGAGATAACCTTCATCAGGCTGATTTACTGCTGGAGTTGTCAATTCTGCTTTAATTCCACACAAGACACATGTGCCACCTAAGCGAACCAGAGAAGATCCGTCCGCGGTGCCCACGGGACCTACATTCACAACAAACGGCTGAGGATCGGCCATAGTGTCTTCAGCAAGCAAAGTTCTAACTGCACCATATAAATAACAACAAACAATGAACAATGAACAATGCTGATACATGTATGCTAAAACAGTAAAAGTAAAGAATAAAAAAAATCATTTACCGGTAGATCTACCAGATCTGCAGATCTGCAGTGCATGCAGTGCAGAAACTGCAGATCGACACAGTCCGTGCGCCAGATTCAAAAAAGTCGTCTAAAAGTTGACTTTTCATTTTCCGCACTGGGCAGTTTGCGGGTACTTTTTGAGTCGCATTCTCAATGGTGGACAATTTTGGAAAATGGTTTTGTGTCTATGGCTCGTTTGTTTTGGCATTTCGCTACCTGTGTGGTGAGCCTAAAAATTTCGCTTAGCCGTGGCAACGCAATGGTGTATTCCGTGTTTCAGCCAGATGACTTGTTTCGCTGTGATCCGGCATCTTCCTAGATTCTCAGCCGTCGTCGAATTTGAGTATTTTCGAAACATTTTTTAGGGTGCAGGCGTGGGGCAAGGCTTTCACTCCCAGCCAATGGCACCATTTGGCATAACTCAGCCCTATGAACACGTCACCAGGCCCTCGTTAGTGTCCAGCCCATATTTCCAAAAAATGGACTGGACTTGAAACTTGGGTGTACAGACAGTACTATGCATTATGCACGTAATGACCGTATGCAATAACTTTCGCAAGCTACACGACAAGGACTCGCTGCAGAATAACATAATGATATTCACACCATATGCCATTGTGGTGCACCGTGATACCAATGACAGTATATTTATCGGTGATCAATTTCCTACTGGGTCGCTCCGTTGCCGAGAACGTCAACTTTGCGGACTGTGGAATGACCCGCGACACCGCCAACCACCCCTGACACAAAGCCAAATGCTGAAAGAGCTGACTGATACGGTACCTAGCAAGTTAACTGGATAATGCTTATCTTCAACAAAACCAGGACATAAAACAGTGCTATGATAAACTATCTCCAGTCACCGGAAACAAATACAGTGCATTACGCATATGGATAGAGATTGCACTAGTACATGTATAATTGTATACCAATCTTAGAGTAAGAAAACAAGTTATCGGGTCTATACCATCAGAGTTGGCAGCTATATGTATTGGATTCTCCTGGTGTGCAGAATGATGCTGGTGGCGTGGTTCATATCCACTGTTGGCTTGCTGTCGGCAGTGCCTTCACTATCTCACGTCTAAGGCATTTTATAGTCTGCATGACTTGGATCACAACGCCATAGTTATCCACACGAGAATGGTAATAAATCCAGATCACTAAGGCCTTCTTCATTGCAGTTGGCGCAATACGTTCACGGGATCGCGTCTCCGACCTCCAAATTGTAATTATAGCTGGCTAGTCTGTTGTTTATTGGCAGACAAGAATTGCGATGCTTCTTCGAAAGAGGCAGTTTAGCAATGTCTGTCCATGACATATTCCGCATTGCTGTGTGTGGAAGGAAAGGTGCAACAACATTAGATTGCTGCTGGCCATAGACATCAAACTGCAACATCTGGGCTTCAGCTGTCACAGGTCCATTGACAGAGAGACTGCCGCATATTGCACATACTGCAAACTATTGACTTCATGCCATCGCCTCATGGATCAGAAGTCACCACACTGAAAGAAGAACAGCAGAGGAAAACAGAACTGATGCAGTTAATTGATGCAGTTAATTGGCAGCAACAAATTTACTCCTTCATTTCATTCGACGAATTTGAGTCGTGCAATGCAAGAAAATTAATAAGTCAGAGAGCAGGATCTAGGAGAGGGCATGCACCAGTGCTGTTGTGCCTATAATAATTAGATGCTCAGAATTTCACCACAATAATGCACATAATACTGACATATTTACACTATGCAACCTAGTAGTCAACAAATTCAGAAAAAAAATCTAGTACTTCAGCTGGTGAAATATCCCACCTCTATCCCCTAAGCTCAAGTGTCCCTGTAAAATTGATAAAGGATTGGTAGATGCTCACTTGGAGTGGTGTTTGAAAAGTAACACAACAGGTCATGACGATTTAGAGCATGCTCAATTGTCTCTTCTCACAAAATCACAATATTGCCTGTGCGTGGTTTATTTCGGGTGCAATTGTGGGGCACATAGGTATCACTCTAATTTCTCGTGCATTCGAAAGATAAAGCTTTGGTCTATCACCCCACAAAGCGGCTTTAGTGTCCGCGATGGGTAAATGCCTTACCTGGTGTGAAATTGGTGACCATATTCCTCGTTTCAGCAATTACAAAAATGAGACATTCGTCCTTGGTGGCTGCTCACGAACTGCAAGCTCCAAAATAATTTTCCAGGGTACGGCCATAGGTGTCTACATCACTCCGAGCCATCTCTCCAGTGTAGGAAAGGTCTCCTGACGAGACTGGAAGGGCTCTAAGCAGCAAATTTCATTGAAATATTCACCATTCGGAGATAGGCGAAATCAACAGAAAACAAGCCCGCAGGTGCGGCGCCTTGGAGGCTACGATTCCCGCGAGAAAATGAAAATCGGTCTCTCAAGGAAGGAGGGGGCTAATCTTCTCGCAGAAAAGGGGGAAAAGGGGAGAAAAAGGGGGAAAAAGAGGGGGAAAAGAAGAGCGGGAAATTGAAAAAGAGGGGGTAAAGAATGGCGGGAAAAGGAAAAAGAGGGGGAAAAGGATGGCGGGAAGAATCCACCGTTTGAATGTGCATACATCTAAAGTGAGGCTATTTCCAGGCTCTGCACAAGTACACATCCACCACGGCCTCTCGCAGCCTCCTCCTCTTCCTCCCTCCCCCCCCCCCCCCCCCCATCACACACAATGTGCCGATTATCCTAATGTCAACTATCCAAATGATTAATTATCCAAAATAATTGCTTGCATTTAATTGAGGGGTAGAAGATGAGTTTCAAGTTGTTGATTTTCGTCGCTCGGGGCACCATTGAAGCGATTCACAAGATGTATTACAACAGGTTTGAGTCAAAATGTGTAATAATAGTGTCATTAATTTAGAGGGGCACGAGTGCACCTAGTTCCTGTTGCACTGCTGAAGAGAATGAAAATGATGAAAACATGCTGAAATATGCATGATTTAGATGGATGTGTGACTGCTCTCTTATCCGAACATTCTTCTCATCTGAACCCTCTGGAGACAGCCCGCGTCCCGAGGGGTGGGGATAATCGGCACTCTCCTGTACATCTAATTCTATTCTTAAATTATATACATATTGTAGAGCTCTTTCTGCTGCCGGGAATGAGACAACACATCCCAGGTAAGGATACGCCCCTCAAGGAAACACAGCTGGTGGATTCCAACAGTCAGGGGCGTCGCACACGGTACGGTCACTACGGTATGGACCGTACCACTTTTTGCCCCAGATACCCGTGAGTCAACAAAATACACTGATCTGGGGTATAAAATTCCAAAATTTTCGTCTCAGCCACCACTCCCCCACGAGTCAATTGTACTTCAGATGGCTGACCGTACCACACTAAGATACCTTCCGACGCCCCTGACAGTAGTATGAAACTCATACACAATCAATTAGAAATACTTTGGAGAATAAACTTTTGTTGGTGAAACAAAGTTGGGCGAGAGTATGATGTTCAAGTAAAACAATACTAAAGTGCCGTAACGTGAAGAAAGGAACGTAGCGCACAAGTTAACGAGAGAGCTTGGAAGCTCAGGGCCCTACGCTATGCTTTTTTGCCTTGATGACCTAGACAAAAAAAGCATAGGGATGTAATAAATCCTTTAAAAAAATCCTTTTTTTAAGACATAACCTGGGATTCGAACCCGCACTATCGCGCACCCTGCATGCACCCCCCGATACACTTTGCATACATACTAATTCTTCCAAGTTGCTTCACATTGTGATCTTGCATTTGAAAGCCCTACTAGTATTTGAATATGCATTGTGGCCAGCCGTCTTTGATGGCACGGTACGGTAGGGGATAGGTACGGGACAGGTACGATCGACGGTAATACGACACCGTCTCCCGTGCCGTACCGTACCATCAAACACAGCTGGCCACATACAGCTGCCAGCAATATTCAAATAGGGCTTTCAAACGCAAGATCATAACGTGAAGCAACTTGGAAGAATGGGTATGAATGCGAAGTGTATGGGGGAATGCATGTAGGGCGATAGTGCGGGTTCGAATCCCAGCATATGCCTGAAAAAATAGGAGAATTGAAAAATTTATAACGTCCCTATGCTTTTTTTGCCGTCAGATACGGATAGCGCCAGGCGTGACACAAACAAACAAACACACAAACAAACACACATATACCAAATTAAAGCTGTGTGGACCCTGGCTAGCGCCAGACGTTACTGAAGTAACGTCTTCTGCATAGCTACGGGAATGAAGATAAATTCACATACAGAACACAATATGCCCAGATATGGAAATTTAAGTCAAGATTAGCAGAATATACACACATGCAAACACACACACACACACACACACACAAGCGTGTGCACACAAACGCAAACACACACACACACATATGCACACACACACACACACACACACACACACACACACACACACACACACACACACACACACACTGTTGGCTGCTATAATGCGATGGCAGCCTAGACAGAGGAAACAAAGTTTACACAAACAAATTCCTACTCTTTCTCTTTCTTTGTCTTCTTCTTCTTCTTCTTCCTCATATTCAATTCAAGGCAGGCTCTTCTATTTTTTTGCTTCGGCCAACCTCGTTTTGGGATCTGACCCACTTTATTGGGGCAGTACAGGTACCCTGAACCTGAGAGTGTCCTTCTGATGCCATCGCTCTCCTACATTTTCTGCACGTCTATATTATTCTTTCTACGAGGACAGCAGAAGGACAGAAACAAAGACATCCACACCATTTTTAAGACTGCATCTTCCAAAGAACACATCAAAAAGCAAATTCTACACGCCAAGCATCGGTTCACGCCGTAACAAATCTCCACGCCATGAAAAATTCGATCGAATGCCTGGTGGGAGATGCTTTTTAAAAGGCTTGCATACATTTTTCACAAAAGAC